CGACCCGGACCCGCCCCGGGGCGCCCCCGCCCCCCCCCCCCCCCCCCACAGCGCCACCCGCCACCCCCCCCCCCCCCCCACCCACACACCCACACCCACACCCACACCCACACCCACACCCACACCCACACCCACACCCACACCCCACAAGAAGTTATGTATCGTACTATCTTTTCTTCTGCTTCACCGGCATATGCAATAAGAGAAAGAAAAACAAGAAACAATTCTATCACATATTCGTTTCATTCTAACAGCAACATATCGGCGAAACCTTAAGAACGAAAACAGATCAACGGCATATCCTTTGTTCTCAACCATGAAATGTACAGAAGAAAAACGGAATTGAGGTAATTGCTTTTCTCAAGAGAAAGAGAAGAGTTGCCTACACCAGCATCCGACTAGAATCCAGCCGGGTCAAATGACGAAAAAAGTAGTCGAGCTCGGATCGAGTCAGCTTACAAAAATAGTGACCCATATCGGACAGGATGAGGTACAGGTATGGGATGTGATTCACTCTAAATCAAAACCCATCCTAATGCTATTGAATACTGTATCGATACAGATTATCAAAGTAACTCTGCTTTTATTTAAATGGAAAAGCTCGACATAGTTCAATACTGATATTTCTTGTTCTAAAGACCGAGAATATTAAATGTCTTTTGAAAAAAAGAAAAAAATATATATAGTTCAATTCTATTCGAAAGATATATTTCGATGAAACTTTCAAATTAAATCGTTCATTCTCTATAAAATTTAATTTCAAAAATGAATACATCAGGTTAGATATGTATAAATACTACTTAGTTTTCAGCCAAGAAGAAAATAATAACCTATCAAAATGAAATGCAGTTTAATTTTAATTTTGTATGTATAACTGGAATTTTTGACCTTTATAAGTAGGATCATCATCAACAAACAATAACTGTTGAAAAAAAGAACTACAACAACAACAAAAATAGGCAAATCATAACCATGATATACAATAACATTGACCATTTAAACCTACTCAGGTATAAATGAATATCCTTATTTAACAAATTTATATATTTGAAGTATTGTATTCTGCAAGAATATAATTAATAAATAAGCAGGCAACTCTTGAATAATAACAATAATGTATCAAAGTAAATGAAATGAAGGTTGAAAATTTCTGTTATGCATGTAAAATTTAATCAAACTGCATCTCATTTACTTTGATACATTATTGTTATTATTCAAGATTTACTTACTCATTTCAAGAAGAACACATCCAACTGACAGTAAAAAATGCAAAAACAAGACGCAGGCACACTTGTTTATAAACATATAATATGAATTCAATTAATCACAGCTATACATAACTGAATAGAAATAAGGAAAAAAGTCTAATGCAATAAACAGTTAATTTATTGCTGCCATGTTTCCTACCCTTATTTAAGTCATTATAATTTGTTGGTTAGATTTTTCAGCACATAGTCCAAGATAATATATTCGAAACTTGGTACTTCTAGTCATGGAATGACTCTGAGTAAGTCAGTATCGACTGTTGTCTCGAATGAGCCGTACGACAGCATGCTGAATACATAGTGAGATACACTGGTCCTTTTGACTACTATGTTATTAGTCAGTATATGCAGAGAGCTCAGGTAATTCAGCCGAAAAACTCTTGAGTCATGCTGACCTTCTGCTCTGAGCTACAATCAATAGTAGTTGAACGAAAAATATCAGGCTAAGAAAATTTTCTGGTCTTCGGGCAACACTCTATGCCGCGAGGGAGTCGAAAAGCAGGATATTCTTCTTCTTTTGCTATCATTTACTCATTTGTTTACTACAAAATGATTGCAAAACAAAAAAAAAACATTTTTTAACTAATCATCGAAAAATTTTAGTCACTGCCGCTGGTTTATGCATCGGCTTATATCTCTATGAATAAATAAGAGCTACTTGAATGAAAGTTTAATGTAAATGACATTTCGTATTTTAAGAATGTAAGTTAAGTAGTGTTTTATATTTGTTTCTTTTTTTGTTGGACAATCTCGAATGAAATGACGTTGAGAGTCTTACAAAAAATAGACATTTATGGGCAGAGCAGAAGATATGTCAGACTTCCACGTTCTCGAACATTTTTCTCTATACGATACTGAAATTACAAAGATAAAAAATTATCTACATAGGCAAAGTTTTGGATGGATTCAGTTTCGGCTCAAATGAACGACATTTTTTTGCACAAATATTAATTCTAAAAACAATATAAAATATATCAAATACATTTGTTTCTGTTACATAAGCGTTACCAATGTAAAACCGTTTATCATTTAAGACTGTAAATCTATAATTGCTTGTTTTCGATATTTTTATGCGAAAAAAACATAATTCATCATTACAAAAAATTTCACACTAAAGTATGCATTTAGGTCTGTGACAGCATACAGTTTTATGAATCAATACTTTTCCGAGAAGTAGGTCTAGTTATCAGTTCTTTTCTTTTACTGTTCCAGTTTCCAAAACAGAACTGATTCATAAAACTGGGAACTATCTCATATCAAAAATTAGATCTGTTTGATCAATTCAGCTCTTTTCAAAAGAACTGAATGATCAAAGTTAGTTCAGTTTCTTGATCGAGAATTTTCACAGGCCTAGATATACTCAGTCAATTTATTTATTTGTTTCAATAGATATATGATTAATTCTAACACAACCTTTTCCGTTTGAATTAGTTTCTACATTGATTTGTCCTTGGTAATCTCCAGCAAACCACCCTGATATAGAATTAAGTTTCGCTGAACCAGAGAATATATGTACTCCCTATAAAAATACATAATTATTAATTGCACAGTGTTATATGCATACTTACTTCTTCTAGTGGACATTTATATTGCTTAGAAGAAGAACAAAGATCATCAATTGAACACAAACGAAAACTGTCACAAGGAAGTGGAACATAAATTCCATAAAAACTTTTCCTTACTGATAATGTTGCCTAAATATGTAAATATAAATTTGAAGCTTATTTATTTCTTATTAAATGAATTTTTTTAAGATACAAACTTTTAACGGACTTGTTAACTTTTGATTGGTATAGATAGTAGCTGTTATAGAAAGCAATCCAGGAACCACAATTGGATCTGGACTTACTGTAAGATTTAGCAATTTAATAACATTTGATTCACTTCCACAATTTTCCCATGGTATGTGAGTAACTACAACTGTCTAAACATGAACTTTTGTTTTTTATTACAATTTTAATTGTCTTATACTTTACCATTTGAAGAAAGAGGAACGATAAAAAGAAACTCAAATTAATCAAAGCCATGGTGTATATAATTTTGAATAGAGCAAATGCATAAATCTTATAAATTTTTCTTTCATTTATACTTTTGCTTACTTGGATATTTGAATAAGAAAACTGTTTCTCATAATAGGTGTGTTCCTATGTCCCTTTTATTTCTTTATTCATAGACTATTGGTATAGCACTTGACGACATAAAACACATCTACGACATTAATGAGATTATTCATTGGTACTACCCTCATACACGGGAGGAAAGGGCAGTAATATGACAGAAAATTTACTCAGAAGTAAATTTTCTCTCTTCCTCGGAAACCAGAATCAAATATGCATAAATTTACATTTTGCATTTTCTATCATAATAAAATGAGTCCGAATTTTGTAAGAATGAGTGAGGGTGTGGGTATGGGTGTGGATGTGGGTGTGGGTGTGGGTGTGGGTGTGGGTGTGGGTGTGGGTGTGGGTGTGGGTGTGGGTGGGTATGGGTTGTCAGTGAGAATCTTCTGTTTGAACACTCGCACACCTACCCACACTTACACCCATACCTACCCCCACACCCAGATCTACATCCAATATCCAAACCCGTCCACCTTTGAAGGTTTGTCATGAAACTGAGAGCTATCAGGAAATTGAGAGCACTATTTGATCGGCTATGTCAAAATATGCTGACGACATAACCATGAGCTTGAGAAGACGTTCTCAGAGGAATAAAATGTAAAATTCCTCGAATCATGAACCAATTTTCAGCTACATTTAAATGAAAAATAGACTAATAGCATGGAAAAAGCAAAACAATTTTCTAGATAAGAAGTAACTCATCTGATTATTCCTTGCTCGTTGTCTACAGAGTTGGTGTGGATGTGGATGTGTGCGTGTATTTCGTCTCTCACTCGATCCACACCTACATCTACTCCCATCTCGTTTTATGAAACACGCTTTGAAAGGAGTGCTTAAGCATATAGAGTAGAAATTTGGATCATTCCTCCTCTCCCTGCCTCCTCTTCCCAGGACCGTGACAGACAGCCTTCGGACATCATCATAGACCGTATACAGCTAAGGTCTCATTATAATCTATTAGCTACTTCATTATTGAAGTTTCGCAGAACTCTGGAAACAACAAAGAAGAAATGTCCACAAATAGTGGAAATAAAGCAATTTTCATGTGATGAGCAACGATAGTGACATTGTGTTTCACATTGCAGTCTCATAGGGATTGCGCCAACAGCTTTTCTCAGAGGGGTTGGAATTCTGTCTCATATGCTGTTCAAGTTACCAGGTAATGATGAGAAAAATTGTACAAATGATTTTTCGAAATTTCATTGTATCGCTGTGATGAGCTCATTTCATTTTTATGACCAAGAGTATATTGCAAATACGTCTCTTTGATTTTCTCATACATTTCTTCATTCCTCGAATTTTATCTAAAATGTACACAACATATACAAGGCACTTCTTGCTAACACGTCTTCTATCTTAATGATTTATTAACGGTCAAGTTCTTCAAAAAATTTCTTGTGACTGTTTGCAGACAATGAGGTACCCATCGGCGCTCCATTCAACTTGTTCAATTGAAAAAAAACGAAACAGGTCATTGAATATACTTCAGCAGAGTTCTTTGCATTTCCTTTCGTGTGTTCAAAAAGCCAGCGTTGGGAAGAGGAAATCCGGTCAAATTTCGGAAAAAACCTTGGTAAAATCGATTGTGTACCAAGAGTGCTTCATCATAGGCATTTTTTGATATTGGAAGTAGATAACGAGGTATCGAAGAACGATTGGTATTGTCTCCGCTGGCAACCACAGTTGCTTGCATACGAGGCGTAGCCATGAATTCGACGAATGCCCGTGCAGCATTGAGTACTTCATTGGACATATTTCGCCTGAATACATAAGCATCGACAGCAAATAGGGGTTGATTGTGCAATGTACCAGCAGGAAATGGAATCATTTTGATCTTGTTGTAGTCATCAGGAGCTCCATTTTTAAGAATAGTAAACAGCTGTTCAGAATACGCAAACATAGCATCAGCTTGTTTGTTTGCGAACAACAGGGCTGGCATATCCGGTTTTTGATCGAATGTTCCATCGAGACAATGATTTTCTTCACCTGTTCGGTCGCAAAGTCGAGCTAATTTGCGTACACATTCGAAGGAGCTATGCTCATAGGCATGAAGAGCGAATGCTGCACTGTTCGATCCTGAATCGTTGCTATCCTGAGAACAGTGAATTAATCGTGAAGGTAATACCCAGCTTGAATCCAAATTTCCAACTAGACGATAATTTACAGTGGCTTTATCGCCTAATACATCAATCAACTGATTGATCGTGCTCACTTGGGCGACCTTTTCGTCGCGAGTAAAGAGAAACGTGACACACATTAAATGAGGATAAGCATACACAGCCTGATTAAATTCAACAGAAGTAGCAGCAGCGGAATGCCAATCAGAACGTTTGCTTGATCTGGGCCGTTGTGGTGCGATTAGACCAGCACTGACCAGGTCGCCTAACACCACAGTATCGACTTCCACCACATCATATTCATAATCATCACTTCTCAACCATTGAGTAAGGGTCGGCATTGCATAGAAACCATCACTGATATTCAATGGTCGTAGATGTAAGCGAATATTCGGATGAATAGATTGAAATTCATCGGTGATAAATTGAACAAGACTTTTGTATTGATCACCAACTGAATCCGGTAAATAGGGGAAAGGAGCTACTCGTAGATCTGTTAAATTTGTTTTTTCAGAGTCATGCATTCGGATGTTAGGTCGAGTGTTTGAATAGGGTTGTGGATTCACTGTCATCATGTAGATAAGAAGAAAAAAACGTCATTATGAAGTATGTTCCTGGGTACATTGTTTGAAGGTTTGAAGTACACAGTATCATTGAATGTTTCATAAAAAATGGGAGACCGAATGGTAGACCAAATGGGTGGTGTTCTTTAGAGACCTGTACACTAAAATACAAAGCATTTATAGTTTCATTTTCCAAATATCCGAACGATTCTGTCACAAGATCATGAGAAAAATTTGAATAGATGGTTCCGGTCAATCAGGCGGTGATGATAAACTATCCAGAAATTGTGGAAGTCAGAGGAATATGTCGAAAAAAACAACTCTTACGTACTCTACTAAAAGAAGTATCGCCAAACTAGTGACTATCTTTCTTTTATAGTTTTCTTTCAGCTGCAACATCAAATGTCTGTCGATCATGTCTCCAGAATCTAATTGATTTTCTTAGTTGATACAAATGAGAATGAGAGTTGCAGCATAATGTCACTGATAGATAGAGAAAAAAATCAATAATCCAACTGACTATTCTGCACTTTTGAAGTTGATCAATAAGAGAGAAATTGCAAATAATCAAATGTCGATAGTAAACGTGCTTGCATATTCAGGCTCATCTCTTCATTTGTCGTTAATCTTCGTTGTTATTTATATGATAGAGATGAATAACAAAATCAGATTTGCAGGATACATTGAAATGCGTTAGATCGAAAGCAAAGAACCCTTAGACATCATCGTCGAACCAAACTGACGAATTAAAATGTGTCTCGGTACTTCACATAGATTCAGCTTTGACATTTTGCTAAATCAATATAACCCAGATAGTAAATGTCAGATATCAGCATTGATAGAGATGCTAAAGAAAACAGTTGATTATAGTAGAGATGAACATTTATCGATATGAATGAAACCAGTGAAAATAGACCATCGAGCGGCTCTCTGATAAATTACACTGTTTACATAAGTAGATCTCTTCGGAACAGAATTCGAATACCCGACAATCCACCAATCTTTTGCAAAAAAACTTCAAGTATTGACGATTCATCAGCATATGTAAGTCAAGGAAGTGAACACGATGATTCGGAGATATAAATGATGATCTTCTAGCTTAAAACAAGAGTTTCATACATAAGATGAATTCTCCTCATACTAAAAATGTTGAAGCATGTATGTCTACCTTGAAATACAACTCTATGTTCCAATCGATAGTTTAAATCGACTTTTTCCATTGCATGATTTCGCTTACACACATCTGATACTGGAGAGTGTTGGTGCGGGTGTGAGCGAGACTGGAAGAAAAAATCACATCCACACCCCTACCTGACGAGAAAAGTATGCACACAAACAGACACAAACAGAAAGTAGAAAAAACTGTAGGATGGGTCAAAAGTTCGCCGGAAGGAAAAAGTTCATATTTTCTAATAAATTCAAAAAATGAATAATAATATTTTTCAAATATATGACATTAAATATGTTCACCAAAGTTTTGTTTTGTATAATTTGATTCATAGCTAGTATTTAAAATGATAGCTACTAATTAAAGCGCCTTAGTTAATTCCTTCAAATTATTTAAAAAGTTACAAGAATGCGTGTGGGTGTGAGAATACGTTTTGGTTGAGACTAAATATACTGTCACTCGCATCCTCTACAGTCAGTATTTGTTTAGAGACGTAACTGTTACTGTAGTAACATTGCGAGATGAGAAACAAGTGCTTAGTTTCTTTGAAGGGCCACCGGAATTAGATTTTTAGAATTTATTCCTTCTGTGGAATTTATTTATTTATTGAGGTTTTACTAGGATTTGCTAATTATGAGAATATTTTAGCATAACCACATCCTCGTATGCAATTAGTACAATCAGAGCCAAAGACATTGACAAAAAAAAGGGTATGCTTATACGAAAAACCTAGCCGGATATTTTGATATAACATTATTGAAAGTCTAGAAAAGCCTGCTTCTTCCTACACTTAGCTGAAAAATAAGATGGTCGTTTCAATATCGAAAATGCATATACGTATATGCATTTTCAAGGCATTCGGCCAATGTTTTAATAACTTTAAGCAAAATATAATAAATCTTACATCAATCGATATGGCTCAATTAGACCTATTCAGTAAATCATTTTTGAGAGTCCAAATAAATACATTCGAAGAAAAATGCTGTACCCAATATATGAGTGAAAAATTGATTATATAAGGGGCAGAGTACAATTTTGAAATAATTTTTCCTATTCAGAAACATGATGTTCTGAAAGATGTAAAATAAGTTCATAATTAACTTTCATCTGATTGAGATATTCAATATTTTACAAGACGAAACATGTCAGACATGATATGTCATTATCTCAACCGTAAAGCGTGACAACGAGTTGAGCTTTTCATCAGAAGTAGAAAACAGAAAAGAAAATATAGCTGTCATGCGACACAGTGAACCAGATTAAGAGATGTACAAGTCACACAAGTAAATATATGACAGGACAAACTGAGTATTTACGTGACTTTTCAAAATTTGTCTCCCGATACTCATTCAAGATTTTGATGCAACCTGGAATTTATTTTAGGGACAGTTGTACCTAACGGTTAGCTTCATTGCAAATTCTCTACAAGTCTGCTAACATATTATTGTAAAGAGAACATCATATATTGAGACGACGGGACGTAGAAAAGACTAATCTTTTATCAAGTGGGTACTTTGTGTTTTTATTGAAAACAGTTTGTTTTATAGAAAACTTCAGTCATATACTGATTTTCTGCGCATTTTCTTGTCAAATCTTAATGCCGAAACTGCAAACATAAGAATTTTTCAATGGAAAATATATTTGTTTTCGTCGAGGGATGGCGTCTATTTTTCCTGATTTGCCACTTTCAACAAGTATAGCTCAAGATACGAGTGACGTAGACTGCTAAAAATTTTAGATATGTAGGAAGTCACTAACAGAAGTGTTCCATGAAATTTTCAAGTCGTCTAGAGCTTTCCAACAAAAGTTATTTATGATTTAGTACCGATAATGCAATTTTACAAATGGAATACAATTGATTCATACACTACAGCACTTTTGTACTTTTGTTTCCAACATCCACAATACTACTACGTGTAACTATTGTGTTATTATTAATATTCAATTTTATTGGCTTCTTGCTTGTTATTGATGAAAAAGTCTTTGAGAGATATTCTACCCAGTTTTTTTCTTTTGCCACATCGATCAAGCAGAGTGAGAGAACGAAACACAAGGATGGAAACTTTTCAGTCTTTTTGCATCTACTTTCTTTTGATTTTCAACCAAAGAAATGTATGTGAGCGAATCATAGTCACTATTGGACTGTAGAGAAGAGAGAGAAGCCATATTGTAAGTGCATCAAAATTTAATCAACGGCAAACAATATGTCTTAGTTGATTGCGTTCTTTCATATTTTGCTGAATGAGACAAAAGAATGCGAGCGTGTTTGTCAGATGAAAAATTTTTATACTGATAGAAGCAACATTTTTTGGTTTCAAGCATTTTGATTGACTTAGTCAAAAGGTTACTAGCGTCTTTTATTTAAAATCGTTGACATGGAGAGTGAATCAGTTATTAAATTGAGAAGAATCAAACCCAGTTCTGTTGAAAAAACTCTCACCGGACAAGTAGGACCAAATACCCAAGTTCAAAAAGTTTCTTCAGCACCTATAGAACAAAACAATACCACAACAACATCAATTAGAAAGGTAAGTTCACAATAAGACGTTGCAAGCACTTTTTCTAAAAATGATTCGAAACTTCTGGAGGTCCTGGACTGGCTAGCGTGTCATTGTGCTTCATCCAGCTGCCCAAGTAGAGAAAGAAGAGAAAAAAAAGTCGTTTTTCTCAAAATCGAGAACCGTGACTGTAATCATGATCATGCATTTTGAGTATAAGAAAAACATCCATTTTTTCTCTTCTTTGTATACGTGTACACGCGTTTTTTCAAAAGTTTGTCTGCTTGGGTGATGCAAATGTAAAGATGTCTATAGTGAGAACGTAGTATGTAAAATGATCGAAAAGTGATAATACCGATATGTTATAGGCTAGAATAAAAAAAAATATCGGAAGCAGAGTTGTCAAAATATATGATGTTATGAAGTTTCAATGTATGACATGGCTGGTCGTGAAAGAAAAATATAAATAGTATGAATGTGTGAGTGTGGGTGCATGGTTCTTGTATGACATAAAAAAAAGCACACACTCAGCTGCTCTTACTGAGACGGACATGAACGCGCACACAACATCCCATATTGAAGCGAAGCGTGACACTGTACACTCACATTCATACCCTTTAAGCCCCCCCTCCCCCCCCCACCCCCTCTCATAAAATGTCAGTTTTAGTTGGAATGGCCAAAGCTGAGATAAATACATGGGAAGGTAGCCCGTCATCTGTTCTTTCATAAACGATAATTTGTTTTTCTCGTTACTTCATTTTTCCAAAAATTTTCAAGATTTCCGTCAACCCCTATTCGAAAAACCAGCTGTTTTTTGAAAAATCAAAAAATGTTTTTCGTTTTTTCTCAGGTTCTGCTTTCTCAAAAGCGCATCCCAAATTTCTCGTTCCTGGTTCGTTCAATGCATTAATATTTTTTTTGTTTTTGTTTAAAGGATCGTCTCAAGGCGCAGGGCATGATGGGGGCATTTTTTTTAATTAAGCCTTTTTTTGGTCAATATACAGCCAGTTATATGATTTGGTTACCATTTTTTGACACTTTTTTCAGTAATTGAACTTGTGATCTCTTTTTTACGCTTAAAAAGGGACTATTTAAAAAAAACGGCCCCATCGTGCCCTGCATCTTGAGATGCTCTTTCCAACAACAAAAAAATATTAATATATTGAACGAACCAGCACCGAAAATTTTGGGATGCCAAATGAGTCATTTTTGACCCTTGTTTGGTTCATATCTCCATAAAACCTGAAGATTTCGGGTCGAAAATTTTATGGTCGTCTTCCCTCTTCAGCCCCAACATATTCTGAAAGTTTCATGCAATTTGGATGTTTCTGAGCTGAGATAGATTT